CTAGATGTTATTAAAAGTAATACCACCTTATTTAAATATCGTAATAATATTATGACATTCAGTTATTGAAATAATGAAACAAACTACAAATTTATAATTATTAACCTAATATGTAAGCTATTAGTCTGCTTAACTTAACATTATATTATCTGCTTACCTTAATATTATATTGAATAGTGAATTATTGAACTTGCGCCCTTAAGTCTTCGTTAACTAGATATTTTGGTTTATTTCCTAACTCACATCTCCTTAGTTCATTTAGATGAAAAAACTTGTGTATTTTGTTTTAGTAAGTAAAATAATGAAGCGCGATAAATAACTTTGCTGAAAAATGAACCGGTTCATTCAGCACAATCAATGGTGGTTCATCCAGTACACTAATCAAAATGTACATGTTACCCATATAATCACAGCAATCAGTAAATCATATAACATTCATTCTAATGTTATACAAAGTAAAAAATATGTATCTATAATATTATTATTAACTATAGTTAACTTTACCTTAAAAATCTAGTGTAAATTGAAACAAATTGAAAAGATAAAAATTTACTTTTAGCTCGAAAAAAACAAAAAATGCAAATATTAATGCATTATTACGAATAACGTTAAACCAAAAATATCAAAGAAACTTGGAGTATACAAAAATTATATGCAATTAAAAAAAATCAATTAACAGCTTGTTAAGTTTTTATTTTTCTAATAGTCCATTCAGTACAAGGTTCATTCAGTACCACTCTCCCCTATATACCTAGTTCTTGATATAGTATATCAAGTCTAAATTATATATATATAAATTAGCAAGAACCTGTCTGTTAGTCACTCTTTATTTATTATTTCGAGATACCAAAAAAAATTTACATTTGAAAGTTCTTTTACACTTACACAAGAAAGTTTCTTCTACATTTGTATTAAAAATGCGTTTTTAATTAACAAGAATTAATAAGTTTTGATGATTGCGTGATTTAACTAATTTAATTTTGATTTAATAAAGCATCCTGGACATTTTTTGGACAAAAAGTTTAATGGACGCAAAAAAGACCTTCAAAAGACGTTTAGAATTTAAATGGGACGGACGCTTATTGAACATCCAACGGACGTCTTTTTTACGTCCAGTGTCCACTGGGTAGCAACAAAGTAAAATATAAAAATCTATTGTTTTATGCAATTCCCAACAAAGGAAATATTAAAGAATAAAAAAATTAGTAACTTCTTGTGACAGTTTTTACATACTTTTACATCCTTTCAAATATTTTTTTAATCATAAACTGAAAATAAAATGTATTTAGATAAGTTAAAATCTTATTGAACCAGTTTTCATTTTCAAATTTAATTGATTGCACAAAAAAGTCTTTTTTATTGTATAGAACAAAGTCAATTTTGCTCTTTTCTGTAAAAGCTTTGATACCTTGACATTGGTAAAATTAACTGTTTCATATTTAGTTTTTTCTGTCTATTATTATTTCCATACAAAAAGTTTTATTGGTATAAGCTTTATGTACAGAAAGATTTCTTTTTAAAAAGAGCACTTTACTTCAACTATTTAATACACAACCCATCAGAGCTAGAACCAGCCATGGCATTGAGGATTTATATTTAATACACAACCCATCAGAGCTAGAACCAGCCATGGCATTGAGGATTTATAACAAGATCACATTTTTTAGCATCATAGTTAACTTTTACTTTAAACTTTTGATGAGCAATATCTTCATTTTCAATACTCCACAAACAAGCTTGTGATTGTAAACTACTATCACAGTTTCTTATAAGCTTTTTTAACAATGAAGTTGGACGAGTATTATTATTACGGTTTATAACTGTACCAAACTTGATGCAGTAAGTTTTTTATTTTGTTCTTTAATACATTTTTGTTTTTGTATTAATCTTTAGTTTCTGATTTAATTTAAATTATTTTCTTAAAATTATGGCAAGCATTAATTTTCCTTAATCAAATTAGTTTTAATTTTATGGTCCAGACAGTGTAGAAGTTTTTCCATTATAAATAGGTCTAAATTTTTCAACATTTTTTAATTTACTTGTTAGTAAATATTTCACAAAATGATTTTGGCCAAATTTAGTTTCAATATTTAACGCAGCCGTTGTCATTCCTTGGTTTTATTATGAATAATAAAATATTTGGTGTAACTCTTATTTATTTTACATAGTTCTCTTTAAATAACTGATAGCCAGCTATTTTATGTTTACCAGTTCTTCTTTTAAAATATAGTCTGATACTATATAAGTAAATATATGTTGATGTGTTATCGGAAACAGCTGTTTCCGATAACACATCAACATATAAAAACAAAATAATCTCTAAAGATGTAGTTTAATGGTCAAAAGACAACATCTCTAGAGATGTTTTCTTTTGACCATTAAACTACATCTTTAGAAATTATTTTGTTTTCGCCGCTGTTAAATTCTTTGTTTATAATTATACAAAATGTTGCATTTAGTGGAATGCTAAGGGCTTTTTAAAAAGCTAAATCCAGCAGAAATATTTATAGAATTAATTATATATTTTTTCACTTAAGTATACTTGTAAAATTTTACATTGTTTGATAGATTGTTTGAGGTATATTCTAAAATATACTGCAAACAATCTTCTCTAACAAAATTCAACTACTACTGCGTTAAAATATTTGTTTATATTACAATGCAGATTCTCCTGCGGAGATAAAATTTATAAAAGATTTTGGCGTAAATGTAATTTGATATAAGATAGAAGGCTATATCTATGTACGAGCGAGCCACGAAATAATGAAAAATAAAAAAAACTATAAATCGCAAATTTTTGATTTTCCTGTAGATACAAATACCATAATGCATTGCTTTATGGGGAATAAACCCGCAAGATTAACTAGAAAGCACCATACTCATAGATCAAATGGTCACCAATGAATTCAAGTTAAGAATAAAAACGGAATAATTTAAACGCGCTATTTAAGATCATCTGCCTGTAATTCTTATCTCACAAAAACGTGACATTTTCTAAGCGCAAAAAATCACGCAATAATTAAACTTAAATCCATTGAAAATTTTAATACTCTTCTGTCAAATTTAAACTGGGATAACCACTTTGATATTGTTCATACAAACAAGGGTACAATAAGTTTCTTAATAAATTAAGGCGAGTTTCCACTCATCCGTTTTTCTACGGGAAAGGTAAAGGGAACGGAAAAATAATCACGTGAGCATGCGTAATAAAAGTTTTTTATTTGTCCGAAAAAAAGCTGCGCATGCTCATGTGATTATTTTGCCGTTCCCTTTACCTTTCCCGTAGAAAAACGGATGAGTGGAAACTCACCTTTACAAACTTCTCAATACGGCATTTTCTATAGTTACAATATGTCTGGAAAAAAAGACATTAATTCCGTGAGATTATCAAGTCGTTAATAAAAAAGCAACGACTATATAATTTTTTATGAAAAAAGACTTTGAATAATGAAACTAATTACAAAAATTATAAACTTATTTTTGAGATGGTTATTAAAAAGTCGAAAAAGTGTTACTATACCATTTAAAAAAACATAAACATGATCGGTCAAATACTTGGAACATTATTAAAAAAGTTATTGGTGCAAAACAAACTGACAGAAATTGTTTTCCTATAAATCTTTACACTGATAATAAAATTGGTTTTAGGAGAAAATTTCCCCAGATAAATCCCCCTAAAAAAATCCCCCCGGAAAAAAATCCTCCTGAGAAAAAATGCCCCGCAAAAAATCTCCCTAAAAAAATAAAATTAAAAAAATATATTGCTCTTAAATTGATAGATTGCTGTCCAAACCAAAACCCTCATTCAATGTAGCAGCACTCTTAGCATGTTCTATTTATTTGTCAGTCAATTTATGAAAAACGAAGGATTAAGGTTCTGTTTGCATTATAATACTTATGTATAAAATATTTATTTATAAACAACTATTATATTGATATACCGTTTATTTTATGCGCTGTAGAAGAAATTTAGGGGGATTTTTTCCATGGGGATTTTTTCGGGGGATATCTTCCGGAGTAATTTTTTTTCGAGGCATTTTCGAGGCAAGCTTTCCTGCTACCGATAAAATTATTACCAATAAGTCTCTAATTGCCGAAACAATTAATCAATATTTGAATAGTGCAGGTTCCACTTTAGCTTCCAAAATAGAAACCATTAAAGTAAAATTTAATTCATATCTAACTCCTAATAAGACCTCTACCCAGTTGGCAATGGACGCCCTAAGACGTCTAACAGACTCTGGACGTCCATTCGACGTCCGTCTGACGTCTTAGGATTTCAATGCCCACTGGGTAAGATGAATAGTTATGGAATTACTGAAACGTAATTTTTAGATGCCGCAGATTTGAGGGCATTAATTCAAAATTAAAGATTTTTATAAAACAAACTTTAAAACTAAAATCTTTAGTTGATGATATGGAGTTAGTGCTTTAAAATATCCCCTGGCCACAAAAACTCTTAACCACCTTAACCACTGCACACTCTATTTTTTTGTTTATAAAAACGAGATCTTTTAAATAATTTAAGTTTTTTGTGTAATTTAAGCTATAACTTAAGCTTTTTGTAAATAACCTTATTAAGTAAAAAAATTGTATTTAAAATTGCAAAAATAAAAATAACAACTTAATATAATATTATTGACTCAAAATAAAATTTACAAATTTGTAATTCAAGTTTTCTCCATATATATATTCCAGCAAGCTTTATAAGGAAAAAATACGTAAATTCGTTAAAATATCTCAGTAGGCTCATACAGAAAAAATACACTTTTTTGTTAAATTTTAAACAAAATTTTAATTTTTTTTATTTTTTATTTTTTGGCAACTTCAAAACCTGATATATTATAATCTAGAAATCTACTTGTCTGAGTTTTTGAGTATTTGTTCTTTTAAATCATTAAGATTTCAAAAGTAGCAAAATAATCAAGAAAAGAATAGTTTTAAAAATTTTTAACAGAGTCCTGTTTTTTTTTGTTTTTTTTTAATAATTTTTTTAATAATAATAATAATATAGTTTTGTAAGTTTTTTAGAATATTGTGTATCTTTTTAGATTGTTGAAATATTTGGTACTGTTGGTACTTTTGGTGCTGTTAATGTACCGTACTTTTGGTGCTGTTAATGATATAACGAAAACAAATTTGAATGATAATAACATAAGCAAAGCTATAATCATAATTATGAAGTTAAAAATAAAGATGATCAGGAAACAGTGTTTTGAAGTTTTTCTGGTTTTGACCCTACTTTTTTATTTTTATAAAATTGGCTTTAAGTAGAATTTATTTATATTTTTTATATGAAACGTTAAGATTCATACACCAACATTTTAATATATATGAACCGTTCAAATATATACGAACATTTCAAATATATATGTACCGTTCCAATATGTATGAACCGTTTAAATTTTTCTTACTCAAAAATATTTTCCTTCTATATGAGCCACCATGTAATTTGTAGTAATAAGTGTTTAAACGCATAACGTTAATGCGCAGTATTTAAACGTACCTGTGATTTTATTATGTTACTAATTATGTAAACGTAATTATGTTAGTAATTTAACGTATCAGTGATGTAATGCGAAGTATTTAAACGTATCAATGATGTAAATATGTGCGTTTAAAAGCTAATGAGCCAGCAGATATTTAATATCTAAACAACTTTTAAATGATTGACGTTCTTAAATTTAATGAGCTCTTTTGTTTATTTATTTCAAAACTCATATTAGTATTTATTGCAGGTCGACGTCCGTAATTTTGTTGAGGCGAAACCCAACGAATTATTGGAGACGATCCATTTGAAATATCTTTTGTCGAAAGGCTATTATCTAAAGAAATATATGTTTAATATAAAAAACTATTCTTGATATTTACAATTTTAGGACCATCTAATACACAAGCAAGGTTGTTTTGTTTTTCAAATTTATCAATAAAATGGATTCTTTAAATGATAAAGTTTCAAACTACCGCACAATGACAAACTTAAATGGGCTGCAACGAGGGTAGGGGTGGGGTCATCAGCAATGTCAACCCCAATTATAATACCCAATTTGTCATAAATTGGGTATTAGTTTTTTCATAAAAAGATTCTATTCTAATTTTCAATTTAATAATCAATCTAAAGAAATATAAGTAAATACATTAAATTAAAAGACATAATGTAAAAACTATATGTAAAATACGGAATAACAAAGATATGATTAAAAATGTATAAAAACAACACAAATATAGTGTCGGTATGGCTTGCAATAAATATTAGTTTTTTTAAGTATTTTTATCTAGTTAAATATATATAAAATTTAAAAAAAATAAAATAAACACAAATATTTGAACTGTTTTTAACAATTTAGATAGCAAGTACAATTTTATAAAGAAAAAAATACTTTTGAACATGTATTTATAGAAATAAAATAATAAATATAGACACTAGAATTTTTGATAACATAAAATAAGTATATTTTGTGAGCTTTAAAGATGATTTAAATAATTATATCTGCAGCTGATTTTTTTTGAATAATATATTAGGATTTGATAAAATCATACCGATCAAATCCATGCATGCGAACTTTAATTTTATAAAAAAGTTGAAATTGAAGAAAAAACTTTTATTTTATGCTACTTTTAAACATAAAGATCTTATGCAAATATACAATAATAAAAAATTATTATTATTTCAAGTTAAACTCTAAAAAAAAAAGTCTATACATATATTACTATAACATATAGTAATAAATTTATATACAAATAAAAAAATGTTGTATTTTTGCAAGAAATTATTCATCGGTTTTTAATTGCTCTTGGATACGGTTATTGAATTTTCTTTTAAGAAAAAAAAAGAAACCTATATACTTTTTAATTGCCTGGAAAATTTTGTTTTTAAAACTAATAAAAATAACAAAAATTACAGATTTTTTTTTTAATTTTGGCCAAAGTTCAAGTTTTTCAGACCGCTGTGTACCGGTATTATTTGGACAACATCTTTTTGCGTTACTTGGCCAAACTGCATTGGATTTAAAGTTGAGCCAACCGCATTTTACGTTAGCTGACCCAATATTTTAACGCTTAAAGGCAAACGATTTTCTCCCTAGAGATAAATAGTCTAGCTTAGCCAAGCAAGACTATTTATCTCTTTCAGAGATAAATAGTCTTGCTTGGTCAGAAAGGAAAAAGGAAAACTATTGCAAGACTGCTTTCAGCATTTAGTTGTCCACTTTGCAACTACAAAAGCAGAAATTGAAGAACAAAAACATGTCGTTCATTGCAAAAACTTTTAGATTTTGACTAACAAGGTTGGACAGATATTAAAGCAACACCGATTTTGTTAAACTTGGAATTGATGGTGGAGGATAAACTTTGAAAATGAGCTTGACTGTTTTTAAGGTAACTGTTTTGTTCTATATTGTGTTAACAAGTTTAGTAAATTCGCAACAGGAGGTAATTCACTATTATTCAGGGTAGAAGCCCTCAATTTTTTAGATATCAATTTTAAGTTCACAGCAAGAGGTAATCAACTGTTATTCAGGGTGGTAGCCCTCTAACCAAGAGAGTAGACAAAAAATGAATTTAGATTTTCTTAAACAGGCCAAAATTGGGTGCTGGTTCACACTCTCAAACAACTAAAGACATTCATAATTGGTGTAGCCAGCTTTCTAACGCTTCTTTGCAACTCTTTGAACTAGTGATCAAACTAGAAACAACAAAAACTCAGTCAAACATCAATCAGTATGTTTCAGTATGTCTCAGTATGTCTCAGTATGTCAAACATCAATCAGCTGGTCAAATTGGTTGTGTTGGTACAACTTCAAATGAGAATAGAATTGAATATAAATTTACAGATATTTTAAATAGTAAACTTTTTATCACATTAACCTACCAACTTTCCAGTTGTCAGATGAGCAACTTGTGAATACCTTAGATTATTCGAATACCTTGGTCTTTACAACTCAGTCAGCAAGTGTTAATTAAATACATTCAAAATTTGTTTTAAGAAAAAAGCAATTCGTGACAATAAAAGCAACTAAAGATTTATGTTTGATAATAAAACTGCCAGTGTTATTTAGATCAGCAAACATCACACCTCTGTACAAAAAGGCGAAAAAACTTTAGTATGAAACTACCAACCGGTATCACTCACCTCAATTGCACGTAAAATAATGCATATAAAATAATGGAAGGTTAGTCAGATGTAAACTTGAAACTTTTTAATATAAGTTCAAACTAATAGTCAAGCAACATCTCGGTTTTACTAAAAATAAATCATGCTCAACGATTCTACTTGAAACACGTGATTTTATTTCAACCGCCTTAGAGAATGGTAAACCTGTTGATAGTATTTTTTTGGATTTCGGTAGGGCATTTGACACATTACCACATAAAAGATTGTTGCATAATCTAACAGCTTATGGAATATCTGGTCTGACAATACAATGGATAGAAGTATTTTTAAAAGATCAAAAACAAAGTGTTGTGATAGATGAAAATAGATTCTCTTGGACAGAAACTACCAGTGGCGTGCCACAGGGGTAAGTAATTGGACCACTCTTATTTGTATTATTTATAAACAGTTTGCTTGAAACTCTAATAAAACTTAACCAAGCTGTATGCAGATGACACCAATATTTTGAGTTGATGCTTTCCAGTGCATCAACTCTTTCTTTACAATCAAATCTTGATTTAGCTTTAAAGTGGACTCAAAATGGAAAAATCATGTAATAAAATTCTTTGGCAAAGCCAACCAAATGTTGGGTCGGATTAGAAAATGATTTGTTTATTTAGATATTAGACTCCTGATAATACCTTTCTTTTGTACAACCACTGTTAGAGTTTGCAGTACCAGTTTGGTCACCTTTTTAAAGGGGAGATATTGATTTATTAGAAATAGTCTAACATCGTTTAACTCGAATAATACCATCACTTAAAAAAACTAGCTATAACAATCGTCTGAAAGCTCTTAACTTGACAACCTTGATAAAAAGGAGACAAAAAAGAGATATGATTCAACTTTTTAAATACTTGAACGGATTTAACAATTTGGAAACAATCAAAAAAATTAGTGTTCAACAAACTCAAATGAGAGGTCACAGCTTAAAATATGTCAAAGAAATCGCTAAAACTTTTTATTTAATATATCAGCCAGTTTATGGAAAAACTTGCTTAGAGAGTTAGTTAAAGCACAATCAGTTAACATTTTTAAAGCAGGTCTTGATTGCTGGATGAGCTGCAATCAAGCGAACTGTTTTAGCGTTTTATAACACATTCACTTCCTCACAACATTTACAACAATTACTAATATTAATACTACATAACTTTTTTATATATATATATATCTTACATTTGAGGTTGCTCATAATTGTAATTTGAAAATCTTGTATAGTACACGTGATTAGTTTGATTAAAAAGTGTGCTAAATATTATAAGAGTTATTTTATTATGAAGATATCTTTGTATAGTATGCCATAGTTTTTTTGAAATTCTCTTTATGTCAAGTTTTCATCAAGTATATGTATACATATATATATATATATATATATACATATATATATATATATATATATATATATATATATATATATATATATATATATATATATATATATATATATATATATATATATATATATATATATATATATATATATATATATATATATATATGTATATATATACATGATAATAATGAGTGAATAAAATAGAGTGACGACCATGTCATAAATTGAACCTCCTTCAAATTGAGGGAGGCGTAAATTTTACATGGTTATCATTTCTAAACTCCAAAAGTTTTGTTGATGAAATTTTAAATATATAAAAAAAGCTTTAGTCTATTATAAAAAAACTTTTTTTACGAAAATAATGTTTTCCTCGACGAGAGTCATAAAGGAAAAATTTTTGGGATACTTTTTCCACCGATTTCCAATTGCTGCAACTTTTTGTAAAACATCCTCATTTAATTTCATCATGAAGTTATAAAAGTTTTGAGTTTATAGTATGCTTGGAAATTAACTAATTTGAATACAAAAAATCCAAATTAAACCTGTTAAAATGCAAAACTCTGCCTCGGAAAAAATAAAAAGTACCTAATAAGTGCATTTAGAGGTGTTTTAAAAACACCTCTAAATGAACGTATAAGCTATATATAATGCTTCTATTTTAGATTTTTTTGGTCCTTTTAGGTGATATTAATTGTGAATTTGACACGGTGTGATGGAAGTTGTCCTGATATCTTACCAATATCATTTATATCAGCATAAGATTGGTGTCGTTTTACTTCATCAAAACAATGTCTGCTTGATAAACAAAGTAAATCAAAAAAGGTTCAGTCAGCAAACGACGTTGGCTTGATGTCTGCAAACACTCCATAAAATGGCTCTTTTAATGATTAATACGCGCAGGTTGAATAATAACAAAAAAAATCTAATCACGCGTATTGACGCATTTCATATGTTTAAGATTTATTGTACTAAATTTTGTAATTTTTTATTTGACACATGTGGCACATGTTTTGACCAACGTTGAGTCTACAATCAAATGCCAGGATTAGACTAACGCACTTTCAACAACGTTGAATATAAATTGTTTTTAAACTAATTTCTCCCGCCAATAGAAAGATATGCAGGATGTCATTTAAAGATTTCTATTATTCTATTAGCAAATCAGCTTTAAACCAAATTTTTTTTTAATTAAAAGGCTAATCGCTAAAATATAATAACTAGATATCAATTTTCATCAAAAGTTATTTTAGCGCACAAAAGATACAGCCATATAAAGTTAAGAACCCCTCTTATTTTTTTCAAAGTTTTACAGTTATAAAAAAGGATCAAAAAAAAAAAGC